AAAAAAAAAAAAAAAAAAAAAAAAAAAAAAAAAAAAAAAAAAAAAAAAAAAAAAAACCTCGTCAGAAGTTCAGATATTGTCATTGAAGTTAAGTTATTGCTCCAACAAACGTATAGTTTAAAGAAGTTGCAGAAGATGCATCAAAATGGTTAAATCTGTTATTGGGTAAGGCTAAAGGAAGATGAACATTACCCGCCAGCAGAACAAAGGGCAAGGGCAAGAAGATCTTCTGCTGTGGTGGGAAGTACTGAAGTTAGAAGCGAAGCAGATAAACCAGCTGCCCCAAGTCCACCAAAAGTTCCCAAAAACTGAAGTTGGAAAAAACAACATACCATCAGGTTTGATGATGGAAAACAGGGAAGTTCATAATCGTTGATGAAGTAAAATTTCCAGTTTCCTACTTAAAAAATGACGAGCATGGCTTAAGAAGAAGCTCTCACCGCTTCACGAATTTCTTGGTCAAACAGCTTGGAAGCAGCACTTGGACTGAAATTCTTAATTACTTTCAAACTTTGATCATCTACTTTTTTCAGCAACTCATAGGTCCCAAACTGCACCTGGGTAGCTGGAAAAACAATAGATGGCCATAGTTTCTGCAAGGATTCCTGGTAAACTATTCCTTCCTGAGCATTGCATGATTGCAGCCAGGATCCATAATCTTGGAGAAGTTTCTATAAGGCACATAAAATTATGAAAAATTAGAGACGTTCAGAGATAACAAGAAAACTGCATGGATGGATCAACAAAGCTTCAGAAAATCTTCAAACATAAACACTAGAAGATTCAAACTGTACCCTGGAGCTAGGACGGATGCATAGCTCTATATCTTTTTAGGACAAATAAATAACTAGAAGCCGGCAAAGTCCATTGATAATTACAGAATTGTCATACCAAACTACTTCCACCGTGTGAGTTTCTTTGATTTGTTTTGAAAACTGTTTGTAGATGAAGAAAGTTGAAAAGTATTTTATAGAAATTGTGAGGAAACAAGCTCAATTTTTAAAAACCAAATGGTTACAAAAAAGGATCTAATAAATTCAGAACGCAAAAAAGCTAACATTTAAAAAATGTTACTTGTGCATCAGATAGTGCAGGGGAAATGATGTCATTTTGAATCTTCGAGACAGCAGATGGAGTGGTAGTCTTTTCCCCTTTCAGAACATAATAGGCAGCAATATCAAAATTTGACAATTGTAGAGTGGATTCTACAAGCTTCATAATACGTGATTGGGTAGAATCAATCTGCATTTTTACACGGATCCACAAGGACAGTATATAAAGACAGAAAAAACTCGCGTCTCTACCTAATGAATAAGTGAAAAGTAAAAACTTGGAATGGGTATATATACCAGTGATAAGGCTTGTCTTCTCCAAGTGATGCTTTCAGTTTCGATCTTCGTTCCATAATTTGTTACACCGTCAACTAATTCATTTAACGACGCCAAATCCTGTTTGGAAAAATGTATGTCTTGTCTCACAAGGGTTTCAGCAGCAGAAAGGAGTCGTTCTGCAATTGAAACAGGCGTTTGGAGTTTAAGCTTCATTCTTTCCATTCCATTACTTGTTGACCCATCTAAGAAGCTATACAAGAAATTTTCAAGTTCGTTGAAGCTACTGCTTCTCCAATAAGAATTAGAGGGCGATAAGGGTTCTCCACTATCCAGAGAAGCACAAAGTTTTTCTTCCAGAGCAGATCTTGCAGATACTGGAAACACATATACATGCTCAGTATTCAACAATTTTGCTGCATTTTCCTTGACAAAGGACAGGGCTTCCTCCAGCTGCAACCAAGCCACAAATTACATGGATAAAAACAGATCAGAATGAATCTACCGGCTACATACTTGGTGTAAGTACACCAAGAAAAAAAAAATGTTTTTTAAATAAACCTCGTGGCTATTCTGATAAAGGTCAGATTTATTCAGCACAAACACTACTTTCTTCTTCCACTGCTGTGTGTAACGAAGAAAGCTAACCTGAAAGTAAAAACCATAGATGATTTTATTCAGATGTGAAGAGGCCATTCGCAATCTACGACCAAACCATGATCTGTTCTTGTAAAGGTATAAACGTACAGGCTTCTCAAAATGCTTACTCCAAAATTCTCTCTCCAAGTGTGAGTGGTAGGTAACAACTTAATAGTCCTTACATAAAGTAGTAAGTCACATGGATAAAAAAGACTACAGTAATGGTTCATACCTCACTCTCAGTCAATGGGCGATCAGCAGAAATAACAAAAAGCAGCAAATCTGCGCGAGGCACAAATTCCTCCGTTAGACGTTGTTGCCTCTCAAGAATGACATTGGTACCAGGTGTATCAACAATGTTCATCTGCATTGAAAAAATTAGAAAAACTATAATTAGACATCAAATAACACATGTCTGTATTCAGACACATGTATATATCTACTCTAATGCACATGCGGGCATCCCAATGGATGGAGATAATGTAACGTTTCAGATCATTCTTAAGTTTCTTTTCACTGTTTTTGAGATTCTAAACTATGTTGCTGAACATAGAAACAAGGAAGGGGATAACAAGGGATGCGATATGAAATACTAGATATAGTCACTCACAGAGTAATCTTTCGTATGTCTTATAAATAGGGTTTCACAAACAACTAGTAAAATTTTAATACCTAATAAATGTAAATTCATCGTCACTTATTGCATTCCTTGAAAAGC